TTGTAGGCAATGGTAACTGTTGGCCAGTGTTACACTCAAAGTAGTTGGATGGATACCCAGACAGCAGTGGCGATCAGTGCCGTTTCAGATAAGGGAGGACACTTTCTTTTTCATGAGCATGGCCTTATTTCTATAACAGCATATTGGATGACTGTCATTCATATTCCATTCATATTCCATATTACATGATACTAATTTTCCCTATACCCATCATGAGGTTGCTACAACCTACCCTATGAATGAAAGTTTACAATATACACTACCAGTGAAAAGTTTGGACACACCTACTCATTGAAGGGTTTTTCTTTATTTATAAAAAAATTTACATTGTAGAATAAGCCACCCTTTACCTTGATGACAGCTTTGCACACTCTTGGCATTCTCCCAACCAGCTTCATGAGGTAGTCACCTGGAATGCATTTCAATTAACAGGTGTGCCTTGTTAAACGTTAATTTGTGGAATTTCATTCCTTCTTAATGCATTTGAGCCAATCAGTTGTGTTGTGACAAGGTAGGGGTGGTATACAGAAGATGGCCCTATTTGGTCAAAGACAAAGTCCATATTATGGCAAGAACAGCTCAAATAAGCAAAGAGAAATGACAGTCCATCATTACTTTTAAGACATGAAGGTCAGTCAATACGGAACATTTCAAGAACTTTAAAAGTTTCTTCAGGTGCAGTCGCAAAAACCATCAAGCGCTATGATGAAACTGGCTCTCATGAGGACCGCCACAGGAATGGAAGACCCAGAGTTACCTCTGCTGCAGAGGATAAGTTCATTAGAGGTACCAGCCTCAGAAATTGCAGCCAAAATAAATGCTTCACAGAGTTCAAGTCACAGACACATCTCAACATTAACTGTTCAGAGGGGACTGTGTGAATCAGGCCTTTATGGTCGAATTGCTGCAAGGAAACCACTACTAAAGGACACCAATAAGAAGAAGAGACCTGCTTGGGCCAAGAAACGAGCAATGGACATTAGACCGGTGGAAATGTGTCCTTTGGTCTGGAATCCAAATTGGAGATTTTCGGTTCCAACCGCCATGTCTTTGTGAGACGCAGAGTAGGTGAACGGATGATCTCTGCATGTGTAGTTCCCACCGTAAAGCATGGAGGAGGAGGTGTTATGGTGTGGGGGTGCTTTGCTGGTGACACTGTCTGTGATTTATTTAGAATTCAAGGCACACTTAACCAGCATGGCTACCACAGCATTCTGCAGCGATACGCCATCCCATCTGGTTTGGGCTTAGTGGGACTATCATTTGTTTTTCAACAGGACAATGACCCGACAAACCTCTAGGCTGTGTAAGGGCTATTTTACCAAGAAGCAGAGTGATGGAGAGCTGCATCAGATGACCTGGCCTCCACAATCCCCCGACCTCAACCCAATTGAGATGGTTTGGGATGAGTCGGACAGCAGAGTGAAGGAAAAGCAGCCAAGTGCTCATCATATGTGGGAACTCCTTCAAGACTGTTGGAAAAGTATTCCAGGTGAAGCTGGTTGAGAGAATGCCAAGAATGTGCAAACAAAGCTGCCATAAAGGCAAAGTGTGGCTATTTGAAGATTCTCAAATATGAAATGTATTTTGATTTGTTTAACACTTTTTTGGTTACTACATGATTCCATGTGTCATTTCATAGTTTTGATGTCTTCACTATTATTCTACAATGTAGAAAATAGTAAAAATAAAGAAAAACCCTGGATTGAGTAGGTGTGTCCAAACTTTTAACTGGTACTATAGGTGCACACAGGTCGCGAGACAAATTTGGTGTGGCAGAGAGTGACACATGGACAGACAGTGCCATGCAATACCACCTTGCACACTCTTGCCTGCATCTAGCTGATAGTGGGTGTAATCATTAGTCAAATCAAATCAAATTGTATTTGTCACATACACGTGTTTAGCAGATGTTATTGCGGGTGTAGCGAAATGCTTGTGCTTCTAGCTCCGACAGTGCAGTCATATCTAACAAGTAATATCTAACAATTTCACAACATATACCCAATACACACAAATTTAAGTAAATAATGGAATTTAAGTATATATACATATATGGACAAGCAATGACAGAGCGACATGGACTAAGATACAGTAGAATATTATAGAATACAGTATATACATATGAGATGAGTAGTGCAAGATATGTAAACATGATTAAAGTGACTAGTGATTTCAATAGGCAGCAGCAGCCTCTAATGTGCTAGTGATGGCTATTTAACAGTCTGATGGCCTTGAGATAGAAGCTGTTTTTCATTCTCTCGGTCCCAGCTTTGATGCACCTGTACTGACCTCGCCTTCTGGATGATAGCGGGGTGAACAGGCAGTGGCTCGGGTGGTTGATGTCCTTGATGAGCTTTTTGGCCTTCCTGTGACATCGGGTGCTGTAGGTGTCCTGGAGGGCAGGTAGCTTGCCCCCGGTAATGCGTTCGGCAGACCGCACCACCCTCTGGAGAGCCCTGCGGTTGCGGGCGGTGCAGTTGCCATACCAGGCGGTGATACAGCCCGACAGGATGCTCTCAATTGTGCATCTGTAAATGTTTGTGAGGGTTTTAGGTGCCAAGCCAAATTTATTCAGCCTCCTGAGGTTGAAGAGGCTCTGTTGCGCCTTCTTCACAACACTGTCTGCGTGGTGGACCATTTCAGTTTGTCAGTGATGTGTACGCCAAGGAACTTGAAGCTTTTACCTTCTCCACTGCGGTCCCATCGATTTGGATAGGGGGGTGCACCCTCTGCTGTTTCCTGAAGTCCACGATCATCTCCTTTGTTTTGTTGACATTGAGTGAGAGGTTGTTTTCCTGGCACCACACTCCCAGAGCCCTCACCTCCTCCCTGTAGGCTGTCTCGTCATTGTTGGTAATCAAGCCTACTACTGTTGTGTCGTCTGCAAACTTGATGATTGAGTTGGAGGCGTGCTTGGCCATGCAGTCATGGGTGAACAGGGAGTACAGGAGGGGGCTGAGCACGCACCCTTGTGGGGCCCCAGTGTTGAGGATCAGCGAAGTGGAGATGTTGTTTCCTACCTTCACCACCTGGGACGGCCTGTCGGGAAGTCCAGGACATGGTGGGGTTCAGACCCAGGGCCTCATCCAACAGTTGCTAACGAGAGTGTCTATTGGACAAATTCAGGTATGTTTATCCCCGTTTTGTTCCGTTTGCTTCTGTTTAAGAAACATTTTTCAACAGAATCGGCGGAATGAATACACCCCTGATCACGCGTAAACACAGTTCACAGTTTCAGAGCAGCCACGTTGTATTCCTTCTCGCATCTAGGTTATGCGCTCTCCTCCTTTCACCTCTTCCCTTTGCTTGTGGACTTCAATGCACAACACATCAGCTGTATGTGACCAGGCCAAAAAACCTTTCCAAGCCAAACCGATACACACAGCCTACATCGTTGTCACCATATTAGCTAAAGTAACGTCATAGTCACTATAGCTAATAGAACTAACGCGTTAGTAAACCCGCTACAATCATGCAGTAATTTTACAGTGTACAGTCAGTAAGCAGTTACACCCGGTGTGCACCGGTGGCAATAAATTAATCAAACCAAAAGCTTACCTTGACTTGGAAGAGTTCCAGTGTTGTGTTAGATAATCATAGCCAGCTAGCTAACATAGCATCCCTCTGTTTGAACAGGGTGTTTGAGTAGGCTAAACTAGCTAGCTGCATTTGCTAGCTAAGTAAGTGAAACTGAAAGTGAAAATAAATGACAATCTCTCTCTCTCTCTATTTCTCTCTTGCTTCTCCTTCATTTAGTAAGACATTTATTTGTTAAAAACTGTTCAACTATTTTCTTTCTCTCTATTTGAGTCAACTACTCACCACATGTTATGCACTGCAGTGCTAGTTAGCTGTAGCTTATGCTTTCAGTACTAGATTAATTCTCTGACATTTTGATTGGGTGGACAACATGTCAGTTCATGCTGCAAGAGCTCTGATAGGTTGGAGGACGTCTTCCGGAAGTTGTCATAATTACTGTGTAAGTCTATGGAAGGGGGTGAGAACCATGAGCCTCCTAGGTTTTGTATTGAAGTCAATGTACTCAGAGGAGGACAGAAGCTCGCTGTCCTCCGGCTACACCCTGGTGCTACCCTACAGAGTGCTGTTGAGGCTACTGTAGACCTTCTTTGCAACATAATGTGTTTTAATCAATTATTTGGTGACGTGATTATATTTAGTATAGTTTTTAAATGTTTTTAATTTTCGTGAAATTGACTGAGGAGGATAGTCCTCCCCTTCCTCCTCTGAGGAGCCTCCACTGCCAGACAGTGTATCAAAATACTTGTCATCAGGTACTCATCACAGACAATCAGCCTGTGAAACTCAACACTGGTGTAGATGACAGAATGAGGAAGCAAGTTGATCGTCGCCTGTCTGTCCAGTGGTCCTGCTGGAGGATATTTGAACAAATAGAGGTTTCTCTTCCTGAGCTCATGCGATGGAGTCACCCAGAGGTTTTGTGTTATTTCAGCCCAATGAGAAACGCATACTGTTTATCATTGGACGATGGGAAAAATCAAGACAGAGGGGGAAGCCGCCAACGGGAAAATAAATAGAGAGCTGAATCTTACACCACAGGAAACAGGTTTTGAACCTAAACAGTTGGGCACCGAGAGGAATGTGGTATATAAGAGACTCTGGATCTGGTGCTTGTCAAAGAGAGTTTTCCATTGAAGGAATCACAAAAAAACTGCTCTTTCTGCAAGATGTCCCTGTCTCCTTGCAATTCCAACCTTAACCACTAGAGAACATAGCTTTATTACAGTAAAGTCAGGCCAATACATTTAGCATGTTACTGTATGACACTCTCTTTTCCAAGAACTATAACTATCCAAGACAAGCATATAGTATATGTAGCTTCTGGCAGCGCAGTAGATCTTCCAAGTCCCTATATACTGTCTGAGATGGCTGGAAAGGGTTTTATTTGTCTGAAATAAATGATCATGTCCAGGTGCTTTTTTAAACCCTTAAGTCCTTGTCTGTTTTGTTTTGCAGAGTACTCTCTCACCCAGTGCAAACAGCACAACTGGAGGTAAGAATCTTTTCTGCATTTTTACTGCACAAATGAGATAATGTTGATCATATATATTTAAAAGAAACATATATTTCCTGATTTATGTGTGTGTTCTGTTGACAAGAGTAGCTAGCCTACAGGTGATGCTGAATATCCATTTCTGGTTCACATAAATTTTATTTCTGGGATCCCATACCGCTGATGTCCTGCTCACTGTTGTACTGTATGGCAAAAGAGAGCTTAGGTAATCAAGGAGACCAGTGGCGGTCGGTGCCGTTTAAGATGAGGGAGGACACTTTTTTTTCTCATGAGCATGTCCTTATTTCAATTACAGCATATTGGATGACTGTCATCATATTCTATTCACCCAGTTTAATGTAACAGCGATAGGTTTAGGCTATGACATGATACTCACATTTTCCCTATACCCATCATGAAGTTTCTACAACCTAGCCTATGGATGAAAGTTTACAACGTAGGTGCACACAGGTCGAGAGACAAATTTGAGGTGACAGACAGTGACACATGGACAGACAGTGACACATTCAATACTGCCTTGCACACTCTTGCCTGCATCTAGCTGATCTAGGGTGTAATCATTAGTCCAACAGTTGCAAACTAGAGTTTATATTGGACAAATTCAGGTATGTTTATCCCCGTTTTGCTTCTGTTTAAGAAATGTTTTTCAACAGAATCGGCGGAATGAATACACCCCTGATCACGCGTAAACACAGTCCACTTTCATAGCAACCACATTTTATTCCTTCTCGCGCTCTCCTCCTCTCACCTTTTCCCTTCGCTTATGGACTTCAATGCACAACACATCAGCTGTATGTGACCAGGCAAAAAAAAACGTTCCAAACCATATCATAACCGCTACACACAGCCTACATCGTTGTCACCATATTAGCTAAAGTAACGTCATAGTCAACATAGCTAATAGAACTAACGCGTTAGTAAACCCGCTACAATCATACAGTAACGTTACAGTGTACAGTCAGTAAGCAGTTTAGCACTTACACCGGCGGGCCACGTGGCAATAAATTAGTAAAACCAAAAGCTTACCTTGACTTGGAAGAGTTCCAGTGTTGTGTTGGATAGTCATAGCCAGCTAGCTAACATAGCATCCCTCTCTTTGAGCAGGGTGTTTGAGAAGGCTAGCTAGCTAGCTGCATTTGCTAGCTAAGAAAGTGAAACTGAAAGTGAAAAAAGGACGTATTGTCTCTCTCTCTCTTTCTCTCTCTCTTGCTTCTCCTTCATTTTGGAATAAATTAATTTGTTCATAACTGTTAAACTATTGTCTTTCTCTCTCTTTGAGTCAACTACTCACCACATGTTATGCACTGCAGTGCTAGCTAGCTGTAGCTTAAGCTTTCAGTACTAGATTCATTCTCTGATCCTTTGATTGGGTGGATAACGTCAGTTCATGCTGCAAGAGCTCTGATAGGTTGGAGGACGTCCTCCAGAAGTTGTCATAATTACTGTTTAAGTCTATGGAAGGGGGTGAGAACCATGAGCCTCCTAGGTTTTGTGTTGAAGTCAATGTACCCAGAGGAGGAGGGAAGCTAGCTGTCCTCTGGCTACACCATGGTGCTACCCTACAGAGTGCTGTTGAGGCTACTGTAGACCTTCATTGCAAAGCAATGTATTTTAATCAATTATTTGGTGACGTGAATATATTTAGTATAGTTTTATCTTAAAAATATAACTTTTTTAATGTTTTACCATTTTTATGAAATTCACTGAGGAGGATGGTCCTCCCCTTCCTCCACTGAAGGAGACCCATCTATGCAGCTTGTCTTGCTGACAGACAGACAGATTGGTGAAAGAGAGGCTGACGCTCACTATTTTTACAGTCTACATCCTTCTGCCCTAAACCATGGGTGCTTTCCCTTCTCTTCCTCCCATGCTGCATAGCCATTTAGTACAGTGAGATATTTCCATGTTGAAATACACAAAGTACCACAGCACTCTCTGTAGCTTGTTTTCTCTGAACCCTCTGAATCAGAATTGATTAATCTATTAGCAGTTTAAATATAGATATGGTTGAAAGGCATTAATGAATTATCCTTGATTACAGAGGAGGACGTCAGGTCAGTTAATACGCTCTGAGGGTTGAGGTTTCAGGGTCGAAGGGGGAAATTAGGATAAGCAACTAGGGATTACCCAAGGTCACTGTGTTCCCCCAGCTCTCAGAAGGAGTAATGCAGGGGCTGATGAATGAGGTACTGAGGACACCCTTAAACCCCTTCCTCTCACATCCTCTCTCCCCACTATATTGTAAATCACTGCAACACCAGTGAAAAAGACAAGGAATGTGTGACTTAATGTAATGTGCACCTATAGCCTGTTAGGAGGATTGAGACAACATCTCCTGCACCCCTCCCTGGCCCGGCCTGGCTCCCACTGACCTGTCTGCTTTTATAAACAGCTGTTGTGGTGCCGGGCTCCATGCGGTGACCCCAGGGTCAGCCAGATCCCAGAGGTGCCTGGGGGGCAGCTCAGCTCTGCTCCGGGCAGGTTCTGTTCATGGAAAACATTTTCCAGTGTTTGTTTTCTCTTTCCTCTCTGTTTGTTCGGGCAGAGTTGGCCGTTGTTTTTCTTTACTGACAATGTTATGGGGACACTTTCACACATATGCTCCCACAGGAAAGCTCTTATTACACATGATTTTTCTTAAAAATGAAAACAGGATAGACACCAGGCATATCACAGTGTTTAAAAAAAATGTTTTAGCAACTACATTTGATGAGTGTCCTAAGTCTTTTTGAATTGATTTGCAGATGGCTCTGTTTTTTGCCCAGTGGTTGTGATAACATAGACATGATGGAGAAAAAACAGTAGGCAGACTGGGAAATATTAAGGAAGGATGTTGTGCCAACTCAGAATTAAGCTGGCAGACAACACACACACACACACACACAAACCTCAGCCGGTTGGTGTAAAACTCTGCTCGTTGAATTGCACAGTGTGACAGATGATATCAGACCAGGCTAATGAGGCCCACTGTAATTGTGCAAGTGTGCGTCTCTCTCGCCTGAAGGGTTGAAACGGGTAATCCCTTCTACGTGCAGTTTCAGCACCAGCCATCACACCAGCCATCTCTCCTACAGTCCAGATCCATCAGGCTGGGGAGCTGCCAAGAGGCATGGGTGGATGTGGTTGGGGCATCCAGGGAACTGTACAATGGCTTTATGAGCCACTATCCATATGTCCTGTGATGGACAGTTGTATCACCACCTCTCCTCTCCTCTCCACTCCTTTCCTCTCTCCTCTTCCCCAGTGCTAATGTTCCAGGACGTGTGGGGCCGTAGTTTCTGCCGGACCATAGAGAAGCTGGTGGAGGTGGTCCAAGAGTACCCAGGGGAGGTGGAGCACATCTACAGCCCCTCCTGTGTGCCCCTGGTGCGCTGTGCTGGTTGCTGTGGCGATGAGAACCTGGAGTGCCGTCCGACTCGGACCTCTAATGTCACCATGCAGGTAATAGGGCACGTCCCTTCTGAGGATGGCTGCCATGTTGTGAGGTCGTCAGTGTATTTGATATTTGTATGCCAAGACAAGGAAAATGCTTTTTTCTACTTTTTCCCCTGCAACTTGTTCAACAACGTGTTCATTCTCAGCTGTTGAAAATCAAGCCAGCGGAGCAGGGTCAAGAATACGTTGAAATGACTTTTGTGGAGCACCAGACATGTGAATGTAGGTAAGAGAAAAAAAGACTTCATGCTTTGATAGTATGTGTTTGGTCACTGTAAACCAGTTGCATTGTAATATGATATTATGCTAAATGATATGACTGACTTTTATATAATTAATCAGTGTTGTTCATATTTAATTCCTAGAATCAGGAAGGCTGTGGTGAAAAGTGAAAGGTGAGCATATCAATTGTCATAATGTCCATTGTAAAGTTAGATAGTGGGACAGAAATGTTGCTGTCTCTATAATACTTAGTTGAGCTCATATTGCTGATATCTTTCTGCAGAAGGAGACAGAGAGGAAGAGGAAAGAAAAGAAAGGAGAGACAGAGAGTGAAAGATTGTGACAGGTGAGTAATACGTCTGGAAAATTAAGCAAAACATTTGTCCATCGACCATACATTACATCTTTCTATGTGAAGTATAAATGCCCCACATGTTAATGTGTCATCTATCTCGTTTGTGTCCAAGGTGTCAGCCACCTCGCAGGTAACTGCAGTAGCAGCCCTACACCTGTTGCAACCGGCATCTCTATTTATTCCCTGCCCAGCGCTAACAGTATCAAGAGTCTTCAAAACAAATGCATCAATACTGTGTGTCTCCATGCACCTAGAGACTCAAGCAGCTGGGTTGTTATGGTGACAGGCCCTCTTGCTGTAGGGGAGTGTTTCTAACTTAGGTTCCACAGGAAGCACATGTTGCTTGGTGAAAAAAACACCTTGGTGACAACTGACCTGACATACATTTCTGTGAAGCAGTGCAATTGAAGACCAAACATTTAAAAGTTGTATGTTTTGCATAATTACATTATTATTATTGTTTAGTGTTTATTATTTTGCTGTGGTTGTTTTAGCTGCTTATCCCATTTAACATGAATAGGTATATTTATGGTTAAATGTGTCCATTCATGAAATTGCAATGTTGTTTCATTAAATCTTTAGGACTAACTAACTAACCAAATACTAGTGGTCCTCTCATGGCAAGTACAGTCGTGGTCAAAAGTTTTGAGAATGACACAAGTTTTGGTCTTCCAAAAGTTTGCTGCTTCAGTGTTTTTAGATATTTTTGTCAGATGTTACTATGGTATACTGAAGTATAATTACAAGCATTCCATAACTGTCAAAGGCTTTTATTGACAATTACATTAAGTTTATGCAAAGAGTCAATATTTGCAGTGTTGACCCTTCTTCTTCAAGACCTCTGCAATCCGCCCTGGCATGCTGTCAATTAACTTCTGGGCCACATCCTGACTGATGGCAGCCCATTCTTGCATAATCAATCCTTGGAGTTTGTCAGAATTTGTGGGTTTTTGTTTGTCCACCCGGCTCTTGAGGATTGACCACAAGTTCTCAATGGGATTAAGGTCTGAGGAGTTTCCTGGCCATGGACCCAACATTTCGATGTTTTGTTCCCCGAGCCACTTAGTTATCACTTTTGCCTCATGGCAAGGTGCTCTATCATGCTGGAAAAGGCATTGTTCGTCACCAAACTGTTCTTGATGGTTGGGAGAAGTTGCTCTCGGAGGATGTGTTGGTACCATTCTTTATTCATGGCTGTGTTCTTAGGCAAATTGTGAGTGATCCCACTCCCTTGGCTGAGAAGCAACCCCACACGTGAATGGTCTCAGGATGCTTTACTGTTGGCATGACACAGGACTGATGGTAGCGCTCACCTTGTCTTCTCCGGACAAGCTTTTTTCCAGATGCCCCAAACAATTGGAAAGGGGATTCATCAGAGAAAATGACTTTACCCCAGTCCTCAGCAGTCCAATCCCTGTACCTTTTGCAGAATATCAGTCTGTCCCTGATGTTTTTCCTGGAGAGAAGTGGCTTCCTCGCTGCCCTTCTTGAAACCAGGCCATCCTCCAAAAGTCTTCGCCTCACTGTACGTGCAGATGCATTCACACCTGCCTGCTGCCATTCCTGAGCAAGCTCTGCACTGGTGGTGCCCCGATCCCGCAGCTGAATCAACTTTACGAGATGGTCCTGGTGCTTGCTGGACTTTCTTGGGCGCCCTGAAGCCTTCTTCACAACAATTGAACCTCTCTCCTTGAAGTTCTTGATGATCCGATAAATGGTTGATTTAGGTGCAATCTTACTAGCAGCAATATCATTGCCTGTGAAGCCCTTTTTGTGCAAAGCAATGATGATGGCACATGTTTCCTTGCAGGTAACCATGGTTAACAGAGGAAGAACAATGATTTCAAGCACCACCCTCCTTTTAAAGCTTCCAGTCTGTTATTCTAACTCAATCAGCATGACAGAGTGATCTCCAGCCTTGTCCTCGTCAACACTCTCACCTGTGTTAACGGGAGAATCACTGACATGATGTCAGCTGGTCCTTTTGTGGCAGGGCTGAAATGCAGTGGAAATGTTTTGGGGGGATTAAGTTCATTTTCATGGCAAAGAGGGACTTTGCAATTAATTGCAATTCATCTGATCACTCTTCATAACATTCTGGAGTATATGCAAATTGCCATCATAAAAACTGAGGCAGCAGACTTTGTGAAAATTAATATTTGTGTCATTCTCAAAACTTTTGACCACGACTGTAGGTTCATTAGTAGACTAGCAACTCCTTTCCCAAACTGAATGAGTTATATTTCACTTTTTGTGTTGTGGTTTAAAACATTGTACAGTCATACATGGACTATGGACTAGTACAGTCAGTGACTTTTCAGCCTTATGTGGAGACTAGGATGTACTAAGTGCTCAGTAGTCACTGCAGCAGCAACAGGACTATACTAGAAGAATATCTCCCTCCAGTGGTTACAAAGGGCATTTTCAGAGTAATTTATTTAAAAAGAGGTTTGTTTAGGATGAAGTATAGAATTATATTATTGATATAATAGGTACAGTTATGTCTATAATACTTTTTTCATAGGACAATGTGTTGGTGTACTTTTATGGAATTAAATAGAAACAATCATAAAAGAACCACAAAATGAACATACATGTAGGCTATGCAATATACTGTAACATGCACCTCATATTTTTCATCTTAGTGTTAAAAAATCAGGCAACAAGTCATTGGCCATATAACATAATAGTAAATAACTCCAAAGCAAGTAGACCTACAAGTAGACCTGCAAGTAGACCTACACTGCAAGTAGACGTATACTCCAGTATCAATTTAAGGAGCTGCGTTAGAAAGAGCTGAGTTCAACCAACTTAAGCTATGAACAATCATGGAACTGGCAACTCACAAATCACAGGCAACTCGCTGTTGGCTGGGAACTGGCAACTCTGGGAACTGGCTGGGAACTGGCAACTCACAATCACAGGCAACTCGCTGTTGGCTGGGCTCCCTGCCTGTGCCATTAAACCCCTACAACTCATCCAGAATGCCGCAGCCCGTCTGGTGTTCAACCTTCCCAAGTTCTCTCACGTCACCCCCCTCCTCCGCACACTCCACTGGCTTCCAGTTGAAGCTCGCATCCGCTACAAGACCATGGTGCTTGCCTATGGAGCAGTGAGGGGAACGGCACCTCTGTACCTTCAGGGTCTGATCAGTCCCTACACCCAAACGAGGACATTGCGTTCATCCACCTCTGGCCTGCTGGCTCCCCTTCCTCTGCGGAAGCACAGCTCCCGCTCAGCCCAGTCAAAACTGTTCGCTGCTCTGGCACCCCAATGGTGGAACAAGCTCCCTCACGACGCCAGGACAGCGGAGTCACTCACCACCTTCCGGAGACATTTGAAACCCCACCTCTTTAAGGAATACCTGGGATAGGATAAAGTATTCCTTCTAACCCCCCCCCCCCCCCAAATTGTAAAGTGGTTATCCCACTGGCTATAGGGTGAACGCACCAATTTGTGAGTCGCTCTGGCTAAGAGCGTCTGCTAAATGACGTTAATGTGCCCTTGAGCAAGGCACTTAACCCTAATTGCTCCTGTAAGTCGCTCTGGTTAAGAGCGTCTGCTAAATGACTAAAATGTAAATGTAATGTAAATGGAACTTGAACTGACTGGTTGCTGTAAAAAGGGCTAATTGGACCATATAAACTCTGTTAACATTTTAACTTGGTGATCAAGACCCTCAGACTAGGTGGGCTCCTTGTTTCTCTATTTCATTTATAGGCCTATAACTCCTGCCCTCATTTCTGTTTCTTGACTTATGGCGTTATTGTGCTTTTTTCAGACTAGTTTGTGTTTCTGATTATTTCACAGCTGAACCAAATATTAAAATGAGTTGCTGCTCTTAGGGTTTCAATGTTTTCTATTCCCCTCTGTCATCCACTCACCTCAAGTAATTTTACAATCAACACACTAATCCAGCACATTATCACATTGCCCTCCACCTGTGGTGGGTCTGTTTTTAACATTACTTTCATTTTGGCCTTTTTGTGTATTATCTGTTGAATAAAGAAGTGGCACATGTGTGGGTTGATGTGAATTACGTTTTACACTTAAGAGTAGACAATTGTTTCATCATTTGTGCTTGTTGTGTATTTATTAGACAGCTTGAGGACTAAGATCTTCAATGTCAATTAATATGACTAAGAACACATTTGTTCAGGAGAAGTGTATGCCTATTTTATCTCAAAATAAAATTATGATAAAGGATATGCCCAAACATCTGAGTGAATATTATATATTGTAAATAGATATAGATATATTATATCTGTGAAGAGTGTGCAACAGTTAATAAAGAAATATATCATTGTCTTATGTGGCTCAAATATCATAATTTTCGTGAGAAACCATTTGTTGGGAGGGTGGTGTGTGTGTGTGTGTGTGTGAGAGAGAGAGAGAGAGAGAGAGAGAGAGAGAGAGAGAGATATGATCACAGCTCAATCTGTTTAGGATTATACCTACCGGTATCGGTCGGTATACAGGATAATAATGGCACAGACAGTTCCATCTTATACTACACATCGCATTTATGATCAGATGTTCATCTTGGTTCTGATCAAGCCCTATCACGTGGGTCACGTTTCCTAAATACATGGCTCTGGTCGCAATGCCAATGTTGTACACCAATAGGAACGCTTGAAAAAATCGAGGGAGTGACGTTTTCACAGTTTCCTTAGCAACGCCTGCTGCCAAGTCGTGGATCCGTGTTGAGTTGAAAAGTTTTGGTGTTTCATCGAAGCGAAAGCATCGCGAGCTCTTTCTGTTTAATAGTTGCGAATGTGAACACGTCAACGTTGTCCAATTTTCAAGAGGACTCAACACTTAAAGTAGGTACAAAACGATATCTTTGATTTTGTGATCTCGTGATTGCATTGCATTGGCAGTGCTCCGCCACTTTCAAAGTCCCATGTAGCCTACACAGCACCGTGTTTTGACTGAGCAGAGCCGGACAACAACGATCTCAGTACAACCAGTCCAGACATGGCGGGCGAA